CAAGGTCTGTATACCCATTGTATTGTTTTTTCGACGACTAAAAAAATAAAAAAAACGACGAAGACTCAGAACAGAGCAGCTGGGCGTGAGTCATCCACAGCGCAGCGAAGAAAAATGTCAGGGGCCCTAATCTGGACACGTGGCGAAAAGGTCGGCGAGAAATCAGGCGGCTGTGATTGGCCGACGCCGCACTTGACCTTGGCGCCGGCCAATCATAGCCGCCAGATTTCTCGCCGTCTTTCTCGCCAAGTGTCCAGATTAGGGCCCCTGAGTGGGTATACACCTTTCCAGCTCTCATCACCCAGGCGATGTTCAAGGTCTGTATCGACCATTCCATTTAGCGCTCTCTGGGCGGCACCATTTTGCTCGACCGCAGCGCCCTCTCCACACATCCGGGAAGTTCAGCGGGTTCGGCGGAGTAAAACGAGAGAGAGGGCACGCGCCCGACTCCGCTAGCAGACGACAAACCGGGAGGTTGCCGTTCTCCATCTCTGGGCTGTATCGGCGGGCTCTACCGAACATCGAACTCTCGCTCGTGGCTGCCGTTGTGAAGTGGTTCGCGTTCTTAGAATAGTTGTGGCTACTCCAAAATCAGCCTATAGCTCTCTGTGGTTCTATTTTGCTAAATGATCAACTAGCATATATTTTTTTTTCCGTTACTTAAATAGCAGTTCAGTCAGCCGGCAGTACTACCCTCAACTACTACATGTATTGTGGCAGGAGAGCACATTTTATTTATTATTTCAGACTTCCACTCTTGGTCGCTAAAGGCCCACACCAGTACGAACTTTTGCATAGTAAAGAAGGTACAGCAACCGGATTTACTCTTCGCCAAAGAGACCGGCCAATCTGACACAGTTTTCCCTATTTTTTTTTTTATTTGCACGCAGGTAACAGCGCAATTGGACCCTGTGAGTCTTTTTATCTAGCATAATATTACACGACAACTGGCATACCAAAATCTGCGTATCTGCGCTTGAAAGTTCCAAAATGACGCGATTTTAAACAGAGTTCGCACGCCAGCCGGACGCTAGCTACAGCCCACTCGGCGGAGCGGACGAGATGCGGGGTGAGAGGGGGAGTGCATTTTTTTTTCTCCTTTACCCTCTCTGCTATGACCCTAATGGAACGGTCTATACCCATTGCATTGTTTTTTCGACGACTAAAAAAATAAAAAAAAAGTGAAAGCCGTTTACCACTCGCTGTAACGCCGAATTGGAGCGCAGCTCTTCAGGAGGAGGGAAGGGTACTGAGGGCCATGTGTTCTCGGGGGGGGAGGGGGTCACGTGACCCCCCCCCGAGGGCACGTGACATTGGTGGGGTCACGTGGGGGCAGTCACATGCCCCCCTCGGACCTCGGGAGGGGATCACATGACCTCGGGGTGTCACGTGACTCCCCAGGTCACGTGACCCCCCGGGTCACGTGACCAAACTTTTTCCGCTAGATTTAGCGGCGAATTTTTTCCGCTAAATTTAGCGGGGAAATTTTTCCGCTAGATTTAGCGGGGAAAGTTTTTCCGCTAGATTAAGCGGGGTAATTTTTCCGCTAGATTTAGCGGGGAAATCTTTCCGCTAGATTTAGCGGGGAAAGTTTTTCCGCTAGATTTAGCGGGGAAATTTTTTCCGCTAGATTTAGCGGGGAAATTTTTCCGCTAGATTTAGCGGGGAAAGTTTTTCCGCTAGATTAAGCGGGGTAATTTTTCCGCTAGATTTAGCGGGGAAATCTTTCCGCTAGATTTAGCGGGGAAAGTTTTTCCGCTAGATTTAGCGGGGAAATTTTTTCCGCTAGATTTAGCGGGGAAATTTTTTCCGCTAGATTTAGCGGGGAAAATTTTCCGCTAGATTTAGCAGGGAAATCTTTCCGCTAGATTTAGCGGGGAAATTTTTCCGCTAGATTTAACGGGGAAATGTTTTCCGCTAGATTTAGCAGGGAAATTGTTTCCCCTAGATTTAGCGGGGCAAATTTTCCGCTAGATCTAGCGGGAAATTTTTACGCTAAATTTAGCGGGGAAATTGTTCCACTAGATTTAGCGGGAAAATTTTTCCGCTAAATCTAGCGGGGAAAGTTTTCTGCTAGATTTAGCGGGGAAATTTTCCCGCTAGATTTAGCGGGGAAATTTACCCATAATGCACCGCGCGGTTACGCCGACGGCGACGCCGACGGCGACGCCGACGGCGACGCCAACGGCGACGGCGACGGCGACGGCGACGGCGACGCCGCTCAAGCCGGGAACGGGCGCCTAAGAGCTGCGCTCTAAAACGACGAAGACTCAGAACAGAGCAGCTGGGCGTGAGTCATCCACAGCGCAGCGAAGAAAAATGTCAGGGGCCCTGATCTGGACACGTGGCGAAAAGGTCGGCGAGAAATCAGGCGGCTGTGATTGGCCGACGCCGCACTTGACCTTGGCGCCGGCCAATCATAGCCTCCGGATTTCTCGCCGTCTTTCTCGCCAAGTGTCCAGATTAGGGCCCCTGCACGCAAGGAGAGTTTTTGTTACACCGGCAGCGTTATCGCTCGTCGAGATAAGAAAGACAGTACCAGGCACGTTCGCGCTTGACACGAATACGTGCATGCGCGATATGCAGTACTATACTGAGTCGCCTCGATCAGCAGAATTGCGCCGAGTTGCAGTTATACTTCATTTCAGCTGGGGTCCGAGCGCGACTGATGTTATGAGCCGAAGGGCCAATCAAACAGCGATAGAGGCACAACGTCATGACGTGCTCTCTGCAGTTGATAGGACCAGCCGGTATTCGGCGTCTCTCTGTGAGTGCTCCTATCAAGCGCAAAAAGCACGCCATGACGTTGCGCTTCTTGCACTGTTTGATTGGTCCTTCGGCTCATAACATCGTCCGCGCTCGGACATAAGGTGGGACGAAGTATAGATTACGAATCCTCCGCGGGTTCCTTGGTTTAATCCGCGCCTTAGGCGTTTGCTAAACAAAAAGAAACGGCTATTTCGGCGCGCAAAGATAGCGAACACTCCTCAGCGTTGGTGCGCCTATGACACTGCTGATACCGAGTACAAACAAGCTGTCGCACAGGCTAAGGAACAATTTTATCAGATTACACTGTTTTCCTTTCTCAGAGATACTCCTCGGAAATTCTGGAATGTGGTCGGCGGCAATAGGTCCGATAAGATTGAACTTTGTGACGAAAGTAATGATCCCATCGCTCAAAATGATTGTTGCACCGTTTTAAATGACGTGTTTGCCTCGTTTTTTTCTCGCGTTACGCCAACTAGTTACCCTACTTTTTCTAACGCTCTTTTTTTGCCGATGTTTCCTATCTCTGTTGACTCATTTGGTGTGGAGTGCTTAATTCGGAACTTAAGGTTTCCTCTTCTGCAGGAATTGATGGTATCAACTCGAAGTTTTTGAAAAGTACAGCGACCTACTCATCTTTAATTCTTTGCGAAATTTTTTCCCAGTCCTTACATTCCTGCACCTTACCAAGTGATTGGAAGGTAGGGAAGGTGGTTCCTTTGCATAAATCAGGTAATACAAGCTCTCCCTTGAACTACAGACCCATTTTATTAACTAGCGTGCCCTGTAAGCGCCTTGAACATATAATTTACTCTCACCTTTTCGCATTTCTTGAATCCAACTCGTTTTTCGCTGACTGTCAGCATGGGTTCCGCAAATCATTTTCCTGTGAAACGCAGCTATTATCATTTACTAATGACCTGTTTCGTTTTATTGATTCTGGCGATATTGTTGACTGTATATTTTTAGACTTCTCTATGGCTTTCGACACTGTCTCACACGATTTACTTCTTTTTCAGCTTAGTAAGTTAAATATTGACCCTAACGTTTTGGGCTGGATTAGATGCTTTTCCTATGCCTATTCCGCAAAATTTATCATCATAACCCGCTTCTTCGAGAACAGTTATATCTTCGTGCATTCTACATATCGTCTCGCACTGACCATCAGCTTAAGGTGGGGACTCCATCATGTCGAACAAACATACACTTTGACTCCTTCATTCCAAGAACTTCTAACGATTGGAACCATCTCCCTGCCTTCATTGCTGCCATCACTGAAGCCACAGACTTCAGTCAGTCAGAGTATTGAGAGGTACTATACAGTATACTGTATAGTACCACTCCTCTCTGTAATGCCTCCGGGCCTTGAGAGTATGCAAATAAATATATATATATATATATATATATATATATATATATATATATATATATATATATACAGACAATTTACCGCCGGCCGTTAAAAACTGCCTTCGTCTTTCGTATGGTACGGGCCTACTATCGGGACCGAATAAAATGCCAACAGCGGAGCGCATGGCCTTTGATACCTGCTGCGCAACCTAGAGGCACCTATAATAGGAACTGATAAAACTGGCATCATTAAAATAGCGCGAACTTGACAAGGACAAAAAGGCACACGTACGACAGGACTGGCGCTGACTTCGAACTAAGTGTATTGCCTCATCCAACCAAGCAATACATACCATCGCCTGCGAACATAAAAAAAAGAACACAAAAATAGTTATACATTTAGATTACGCGTCTACCACGTACCTATCTTCAGAAAGAACCATCAAGAAAGGATAATTCTTTCTCAATGAGACACACCGACGGCATGCTGACGCACTTGTCTCCCGCTTTTTCGATAAAAAACGCCTCTATAATTTCCCTCTCTGTCTTGTCCTTTGCTCTCTTTATGAACTCGGTCAAATTTAAAAGCGGTTTACACCCAGATCGTTTAACGTGCTCAGTAAGATGACCACCCAAATTGCTTCGTACCGACAGATTGTGCTCGCGCGCTCTGTCATTGAAACACCGACACGTTTGTCCAATGTAAACGCGGCCACAGCTAAAAGGAGCCCAAGGCACGTGTTTGTCCTTGTCGAGTTCGCGCTATTTTAATCGTGTCTAATACGAAAAAACAAGCCCAGTCAAAAGTTGTGATAAAACTGCGGAGTGGAGATAGGGACACATCAGAGCGGCGTTTCTCGAATCGCGTGAGCGAGGGCGCCACAATCCGCAGAAACACACACGGAAGCACGGTAGCACCGCTTCCAAGGACGGCAAGAAAGAGAGAGAGGATTGGAAGTAGCAACGAACAAAGTCTGTGAGGCGGTGTCTGGGCTTTCAGCCTCGCCCGCCCATCAAAACGATACAGACGCGATACGCCTCGCCTCGTCCAGACGCGTCGTCTGCTAATCCGAGTGCAGCCGGCTATGCTTGGGGCATCGGGTATGGCCGCCGTGGGACCGGTGTTCTTCGCTCTAGTCCTGTTCCTTGGTTCTGCGACCGATGGCGGCGAAGGACTATCTTTCTTTCCCGTTCCTGACGCGGAAAAGGAAGGTGAGTGGAAGGCACGTCGTGGGTCGAAGGCTTGGCGAAGAAATTACGCGTGTATGCTCGTCCGTGTCGGCCCGAGGGAGCGAGCACGTCTCCAACACGCGGCCATGCAATGCCGCCATAAACCGGCTGTTTGGCGTTTCTGTAGCAACCGATCAGACATGAGTCATGGTCATATACCAGCGTTTGTCAGCGTCTGTCGTCGCAAGCGAGACAACCCGTTTAATAAAGAAACAGTTAAATCAACAAAGTCAGAGTGCAGCTCGCGCTATCAGAGCGATAAAAAATATGCTGTAGTCATTTTTTAAGTGTTTTTTTCTTCTTCATATTGTTTGAGTGTTGCGTACCGAAAGGCGACCTAAAATGTTTTATTTTCGGGGCAAGTGGCGCTCCTCGAAGTTTGAGAGCTACGAGCATATCGGTGGTCAGCCTGTGGCAGTTGGCACGAGCGCCAGCACCTCAACCGTTTCTTCTACTTGAACATTACAAAAGTGCATGGTATAATAACCTGCGTGCGATGGGACCGTGCTAATCACAGTATACTGAAGCAAAACGCTAGCTGGCGGAAGGCGGAAATGACGCACATATATACCAAAGGACCTTTTTCTAGGGTGCCTACATGTCTGTCTGTCTGAGGGTGAAGACATCCATTGTTGCCCTGAATGTGCCAGTGCGTGACGCTCTCGCGCACTCGGTGCGTGATTTGGGCGGTAAAATTGCGTCTATGCATTAGCTAAAGCTACACGCTCGAGCTCAGTGACACCAGATTGCGCGCGCTTCAAAATGCATAAAAATACGATTGGGCGGAAAAATGGCTGAGATGTCACCACTCAAGCAAAAGCGCGCGTGAAGGCACTCTACCTTTTTCGAGTAACGAGCGCCGTCTGGGGAGTCGTCTGCGAACCACAAATGAAAAGCAGCCCAACGTGCCTTCGCCCGCCAAAACACATTGGCATCGTGTTGTTGTATCAGTTTTCAGTTCTTTTTTCCTTCTACTATCGATACTAAAAAACGAAGCGTCAAAACAGACGCGCGAAGATAGATGCTGAAAACGTTGGTCGTGCGGGACGGTGCCCCGCGAAAATGGCGACAGCGGGAAGATAGGCCTAAGGAGAGGGTGTACGCATGCGCAGAAACTTACTCGAAAAAGGTTCATTGGAGGATACAGTCTAAAGGAGACCACGCCACCTAGCGAAGATGTGAACGATGGTTCAATCTGTGCAGAAAGAACTGGCACGGCCTGGCGGCCAAACCGTGAACCAAAGAAAAAGAAAATGAAATTAACGTCGTTTGGCTTGGGAATTAACGTCATTTGGCCTTGAAGTATAAATTCCGAAAAAGCAATAACGGGGAAGATGCCGAAACTGACATGTGCGATCACTGTCAAATATTGGCAGACATCAACAACATAATCTAGGATTGTCCCAAAAGTGACATCAAGCGGAAACTAGCTTTGATGCTCTACGGCCACAAGAAAGACCATCCTGCCTAAAGGAATGGGTTCTTCCAGACGGCACCCCCGAGCACAGAAAAGCAATTTTAGACTCGCGGACAGGGTTCATCAAGTCCGCCGGACTTGATATTTACATTTAGCCCCAATCCCTCCTTCCCCTCCCCCTGTAGCCAATGACGAGTTCCGAGGGCAACAGGTACCCCACCTGAAAATAAAACATTTTCTAATTCATGGCTTGGGAATACTTAAGGCTAGGAGCCAGGTTTAGAGAATCTGATGATGCCACCTGCATGAAAGGGCCTTGGCCTTAGCCTCAACTCTCAACTTGGGTACCACATTTTAGCCTCATATGCTGATGCGCCATTAACCCCCCCCCCCCCCCCCCTCAATCAATACGAGTACAGTATGCGCGGACATTAACAACTCGACGTATTGCTGGGTTTCAGCAGTTGTGTGAGCTGAAACTTCAAACACCGAAACGTATTGCAAAGGCTTATCATCAACCAGTCAATCAATTTCCGCTGATGAATGCAAGTCTTTATTTAATATTAAGTTGCGCAGGTTACAACAGTACAGAAACAGTCAAAACGTCTGGTTTGCGTCTGCCACGCTCTAAAAAATATACATTCTTGAAAGGTTCTTCGATCGCCCAAAGAACCTTTTTAGCTCGTGAAGAACGGTTGCTGCCTCAAGCACTATCGCCTTGGCGAAAGTGCTTGACTAACAGGGCGATGAGGAACTCTTTCGCACCAAAAGGAGCTTCGTGTAAAACCCCTTAGAGGTTTTTCACGAAGAACCCTTTAGGGCGTGCTTAAAATAACCCTTTGGGTACAAATAACGGACTAACCGTATAACCCCTAAAAGTACTCTTATGACCAGATATATATATATATATATATATATATATATATATATATTTTTACAATGCACCTTGTTTTTGAGAGTTACAGCTTAGTAATCCCACGAAGTCTGCTACGAATACAAAGAAACGACAAAAGCAACACCAAGTATTTCATACAATCTTTTGCGAATGAGTTATATAAAGGACATGTTTAACTCTTTCGCGAAAAATTGTAGGCAATACCAACGCGCTCCCTAAAAAAGAAGAGTAGCAAGTATTTGCTGGGAAGTAACCACAACTTTTCCAGCTTACTGATAAACGTTTTCTCTAGCACGCTGTGTTAGGTCGTACGCCCATATGGCTCTGTCACGCGCGTTCATTCGAACGTCTCTTCTTTTTGACGCAAACAGTCTTTTTGTTTTCCTAGTCCACGAGAAACCATCGAATGCTGACGAACTGCAGACGTCATACAAAAAGCAGTCTGCACAAACTATTTGAGGCCTTCCTTTTATGACGGTCACGTTGATCACACAGAAATTGTCTGCATACATGTTCGAAACATTGGTGACAATCAGTTCGTCGAACGACGTTTCATCGACAGTTTATTTTATCGAAAGGCTTCCCGCATCCGTTCTATCGGCAGACTTCACAACGTTTCGTCGAACACGACCCTTCTGTTTTCGCAAAAAAACTTTGTCTCGCCCGGTTTACCTGAGGGAGAGGGGGGGGGGGGGGGGGGCGGAGGCTTGGAGGCCTGGGTAACACGCCTCAGAGGATCACGCAGTAACTTACTGCAGCTTAGAAAAAAAAAAAAAAAAAAAAAGATGTTGACGAAACGTCGCAGGGGCATGTCTCCACAGAAAGAGCTTCCATGAAATGTACAATGTCGACGAACCGTGTATTTATAAAACCCGTCTGCATGAAAAGCTGTCCAAAAAATCGTGTTGCGATGAAACGATAGGAATCCTCGAGGCGTGTATGAAGCGTGCTTGGAACACGCTTGAGGCCCATACTGCAGCGAAGAGCGTGTCACCTGCATGATTTACGATCTCACGCAGCGAAGTCGAGCTTCTGGTTCGACCAGGGCATGTCCGATATCGAGGCTCGCCTCAAGCTCCAGCACGGCACCGGCCTGGCGAAGCGGGTGGTCATCTTCCTGGGGGACGGCATGGGGCTGTCCACGGTGACCGCGGCCCGCATCTACAAGGGACAGAAGCAGCGCAAGGCCAGCGGCGAGGAGAGCGTCCTGTCCTGGGACGCCTTCCCGCACGTGTCCCTGTCCAGGACGTACGGGCTGAACGTGCAGACGTCGGACTCTGCCAACACTGCCACGGCCTACCTGTGCGGGGTCAAGGCCAACTACGAGACGCTGGGCGTAGACTCCAGAATACGGGTGAGGCTGGGGAGCTAATCTTTTTGGCGATAACGGTGGCGGATAACGGCAGTCGGGTTAGAGTACGGGACCTATGCACCTTTCCAGCGCTTATCAGCCGGTCGATAAATTCCGCGGCCGTAGACGGATGCGCGGCGTCTGATATTCCGCTGCAGAGAGTTACGGCGCTTGTCCAGTACGCGCTGCACAGCCCGGGAGGCAAAAATGTGGAGGCGCACAGAAGGCGATCTTTTTCAATGGTCTATGCACGTGTACGAGTAGCAGAGAGATACCGAAGTTAAAGGAAAGTTTTGTATACAGTATTCAAAGACGGAAGAAGTGGGGTTCGTCGTGGTTGTTTCTGAAAGTTTGTTGACAGGGATCGGGTCCCAGCACTTCGTCGCCTTCCGCTACCACTTACCGTTTCTCGTGCCAACTGCCTTGTCTTCGACGAATGACGGAAAAACGAGCATTAAAAATATAACAGCCGCCGCGTTTTAAAAGCTAGTCTGGCCACTCTGGATATAAAATATTTTGATGGGCACCAGAGGAGAGATTGTAAGACTGGTGGAAATCATCTAGCGAGAATTGAATGATGTACAACTAACTGACACAACTGGGAACAGGTAGAACGGAGGAAAATTGGGACTCCCTCCGACGTGACTCCGGCCCAAAGTCTCAACCCTGACTCCCAGTGGGTCCGGTGCTGGGGTAGCGCCGACTAGGTTTGACCAGAGGAAAATTGGAGACTCCCTCGTCGGAAAAAAGAGGCGGAGGTGACGTTTTTAGTTTTTTTCGGGGGGGTGATCCAATCCCGAAGGTCATTTCGGTCATATCCCACACCGCCTGGTGATAGTTGCGAAATTGTAGAGGGGAAGTGAATTGGCTTAGAAGGGCAAAGAGAAGAGTCATACTTTTTTTATTTAGTTTCTAGGCGAGGTGGCGAAGGCTATCGCCCGATATAAAGGGTACAGCCGTACCCCAAAGTGGACATCAATCCATCCATCGCGTTTTGCATTAAACAGATTTTCTTCTTTGTAGTTTTATTTTGATGTGTTTGCTCTCCTCTGTTGAGTCCGAAAGTATGTTGTGTACCTTATATAAGGCCATGAGCTGTTTGTGGACACATAAAAAAAGGAAAAGGCAATTATTATTAGTAGTAGTAGTATCGACATTTGAAACACAAAATGGACAAACCGAAATTGAAAGCCTACATTTTTATACCTGCACACTAGGGATGAGGCTGAGCAGACGACTTCATTCGAAAAGAGACTGAAATATTTATTTATTTATTTATTTATTTATTTTACCCTCAGGGCCAGAGGCATTACAAAGGAAAGTAAACACGGAAAATAACAGTGAAAAATACAAAATAGTTACACAACAGGGAATACGTAGCGAAGGTAATGTTTTCAGTGTTTTTGCTCGATCCCCCAAAAGTCATCCTGGTGACGCCGAGAGAGAGAGAGAGAGAGAGAGCGAGAGAGAGAGCTAGACTTGCGAAAAAAGAAATACTAACTTGGGAGTCACAGCCAGAGGCCGGACGATCATCGTTAGTTGGGAGAAGGGGGGAGGGGTTAACAGCTGATAGTTATAAGGAGTATTCACTGGGCGCCATATTTGTGGGTGATGTCTAGAGCGCATGCTCTGAACGAGCCCACATTAATAGGCTGCTAAGACGGGCAATCTTGAGGGTGCGGAATGCACGTTACAAAAGAACTGTGGAAGCTCGCCATCAGCACGCGCTCAGCAGTCGTACACACAGCTATGGCCACCAGTGAATACTTCCTATAGGGAGAGAAAATTCGCTTGAAATGGCAGGAGTAATTGTATGTTTTTGTTTTTAGACTTCGACTAGGTGGCGCGAGCTACCGCACATTACGAAGGGTACAGATTCACATCCAACCACCCAGACTTGACTATCAGATGGTCAACACACGCCATAAGCAAGGTGGCTGCGATCAGAGGCCAGCTTGCAAACGCTCCAAACCCTAGAGTCTCGGTATGTGTTCGGTGCTCACCGCAACCAGCTGATACGCCAGACGTTGAAGTAACTCCCTGGGCCAGCGGAACCCGCAATACGTCACCTGTGTCGTCACACCACTTGAAAATAAATATCTATGTTTCGGGCGCCGGGACCCGCTTTCCTGTTTGGTTCGGACCGCCCTTGACCTGCCGCGAGCCTTATCAGAATTCCGAAACCTCTGCCCGAGTTGAGCCAAACTTTTGAGCCAGACTTCATTCCCCGGTCGGCATAGGCGCCGATCTAAGTGATCCGAATCTCCTCTTCCAGAGCGGAGACTGCCACAGCGACCCGAGCACGCACCTGCCGAGCATCATGCAGTGGGCCCAGGCGGCTGGCCTGTGGACGGGCGTGGTGACCACCACCCGGATCACGGACGCCACCCCGGCGGCCAGTTACGCCCACGCAGGCTACCGCAAGTGGCAGTCGTCCGTGCCCGACGGCTGCGCCGCCAAGGACATCGCCTACCAGCTCGTCCACAATACGCCGGGCTCACAGTTCAAGGTATTAGACCAGACCCACGCCTGCTACCGCCTTTTCGCGGACATGTCTCTCGGAGACATAAACGCTCGGACTTCTTTCTATACGGAAAGCAAGTCGTCTGCTTCTTGCGCGTAAGTTTCAGTGACGTCAGAACAACGCCGAGCTCTGATTGGCTTTCATTGAAAGCTGTGCTAGATGCCTTGAGATCTACCCACTATTTGTTTTAATCAGCTAATAAGATGATAATATAATGCAACCTAGCTGTGTTTGGAGATTTGTGTTCGTCCTTTGTCCCTCTTGTTCCCCTTCTCCAGGGATTATTATCGGCAGCCAATAAGAACTCGGCGTTCAGACATCACCGCAACCCCTGTGCAAGAAGCAGACGAACTTACGCTCTACATAAGCAGAAAAGCTAATATTTATTTGTAATCCTCAATGACACACGCGAACAAACATTATCCAGGATGTTTATACCTTGAGACTGGGAAGGAATCTTGGCAATATATTAGGAGAAACCGAAAAAAGGTGACAGACAAACATTGCTATGGCAAAAGAAGTTGTCGACATAGGGATAACTCAAAATACTGAACGTATTGTGTGTTACTTAGAGGTGGTGTTTCGCGGAGGAGCATCTGTGCCTCGCGTGAAGCTTGGTTGTTAATGCAGGGAGTTGCTTGACACACAGCACAGGAAGCATGGAAGTAGCAATGACTTTAAGTTGTAACACTTGGGCCGTGTTCCAAATGGACTCCATTTCACTTTAAGCGAATATTTTGTACCTTGACGTTTGAGGCTACATAGTCACAAAAAGTGTATTTATCTCTTTATCGCGTAATGTAACCCGTGGAAGTAATTCGGACCTATACTCGAGTAAAATTTAGAACACAGTTAACAAAACGTAGTCAAACGCAGCTGCTTGATGAGGCATCAAAGTTATTGACTACAGCAGGAGAAAAAAAAAAAAAAAAAAAGAGCATCTCAGAAAGCGTAAAGCAAGCACTCAAGAAAAGCACGAAAAAAGGATACTCAAAAACAAAGAACTTTTCGCATTGCGGTGAGAAAAAAAAAAAAAAAAAAAGAAAAGCGGTGAGAAAAAAGAAAAAAAACGTTGTCCATCATTTCTACAACCTCTGAAGACAGTTGGTTCCATTCGCCAATAGAAAACTATTAAGAAGAAGGAAAGAAGTGTCTCACTGCCGTTTTTAAAGACCAGCAAACCTAAGACGAAACGAGGTGCTGTAGAGACTTCACGTCCTAGAATAGAACTCAAGCTGTAACTAATAATAGAACTAGGAATAACTGAGCAATGCACGCTTCTGACGACAGGTTATCCTGGGCGGCGGTCGGGGCATGTTCCTGGACAAGTCCATGAAAGACGAAGAGGGTCAACCCGGGGATCGAGCCGACGGCCTCAACCTCATCCAGAGCTGGAAGGACTCCAAGAAGGACTCGACCAACGCCAGCTTCGTTTGGACACGACAGCAGCTACTCGCTGTCAAACCCGAGAGGACCGGGTACCTGCTCGGTAAGGTCGCGGCGCCATGCTTGGAAATGAAAAGAAAAATGAGTTACTGTTTTTGTTTACTAGCAGTATCGCCAATGGTGGTGTAGCTTTCGCGCTGCATTCGCGTAAATATAGACGAATTACCCGACTCTTCTTGTATTGATTTTTTTTGCCCGTGTGTATCGCTTTACATCCTCATTACCCCAGAAAATAGAAATACCCCGTGCACCCTCACACTTGGCGAAGTTAAACCTGTTGGTAGAGGATGCCCTCGTCATACATAGATAGTGGAGAAATGGGGGTTGATAGACTTCCGGTCACTTATTATTATTGTCACAAAAAGCTACCCCCCCCCCCCTCCGCGAATGAATAATTGATTTAATGAATTATCGAATGAATGAATGATTTATTTATTCTATGAGTAAATGATTGATTAAATGAATAAAATACGGAATAAATTAATTATTGAATGAATGTTAGAATCATCGAATTAACGATTGAACTATTAAACTAATCGTTGTTCAATTGAATTCATAAAGGACTAAACTAACGAATGATTGAATGGATGCTTGATTAAATTGATAAAATAATTAATTCAATATTCAATGATCGACTTTCCGCTTTACGAAACCATTTTTAGCCATTGTTTTGGGGCATTGTTCGCAAATAGAAGCGGCCACGCCATATGGGACTTGGTTTTGAGTCCCTCGATCTTCTTGTGTGCCAGGTCTCTTCGACAAGGACCACCTGCCGTACGTGCCGGAGAGGAGTGACCCGGACACAACCAAGCCCACCCTCCCCGAGATGACGAAGGTGGCGCTGGACATTCTGCTGAGATCTCCGTCCGGGTTCGTTCTTCTCGTCGAAGGTATGTGGAAGCGTGGTGGGAGACAGACAGACATACCATCGAAAGCGTTGCACACCCATTGGGCCTCTCGAAGCACCCGGAATCGCGAAGGTTTTATTTTCGCAAGTTTCAGCGATGGTAGCGCCGCGGAGTGAGACTCGCACTTTCTATAGCTCCAGTATGATCGGCCACGGAATAAAGGTGCTTACCTAAACCTTCCCGACGTGGCAGTATAAGGAAGGACTCTTATATCGCTCGTATTTCAAAAGATTAGAATTACTGACGCGTCACCCAACCTTGTGATGCTGTTCTACAGCACCTATAAGTCGTGAAAGTTGCGAAGTTGTGAAAGGAGCTGTGCAACGATCTCAGTGCCTTGCTTAAAAATTGTGGGGGTGGGTGTTTCGACCCTTCTGAAGTAAAGAACAAAAACCGTTTTTGCCTGCAAGTTCTAGTTTTTATGAAAAAAAAAAGAAAAAAAATGGACAAAGATTGAGGTTTTCGGCACCTCTGAACTCCTTCATCATCTTCCGAGTCACGTGTGCTGTGACGTCAATGGGGGTCGCGCGGGGTACCGGTGAAGCTCTCTCTCTAGAGCCATCAGTGAGCAGCGAGAACTCACCCGCCCGCAACCACGTGACCACGTGCTTGCGCAGCTTGGCGCAGCGCAATCAACATGGCGAGAGGAGGAAAGTCTCGTCCGGGTCCGGCCATCCCCCTCCCCCCTTTGGCTTCTGACGGCTGTTCGCGGTAGCAGATACAGCTCACGGTTTTCTGGGCCTAGGATAGATGGCGCCACTGAAACTCTATATAATTAAAGTTTTGTCGATGATACCAGGTTTTTGACGCATTTATACTTATGTTTGAACGACAAAATTTATAGAAAAATTAAATTTTATTAAAAAAAGTCGTTGCACAACTTGCTTCTTTTTTTTTTTCCCACAACTTCCCTTTTGAAGTCACGCCACGTGGTTCTCATGGCCGCCGCTCGCGGCTGCATATCGGGAAATATTGTAATTTGTGCCTCGAGATTACGCGGCGGAATTGCAACATTTTGAAGGAAGAATTCGTGTTTCTGTCTTTTGTGACAAGATAAACAATGTCAAAAGTAGAAGATGCAATTTTTTTCAACGTTAAAATCGTTGCACAGCCCCTTTAAAGGGGCGGCACTAAACCACTTTTTACGAAAGTCTATGAGCATAACTCAATCTATAAAATCAAAACCTCCTAAAAATTTATTTATGCGCGGGCGATTTGTTTTTTTTTTCTTTTATATAGAAATTGGTATCAAAAGATTGACTCAGATGGCGCCATCAGACGCGGAAGGCAGGATCTGCCCTTCTTCGTCCGGTGGCGCCACGCGGTGCCGATCTTTTGATACCAATTTTTAATGAAGAAATCGGCCACGGCATAAACGTTTATTTCTTTTTTTTTAATTTTTTAATTTTTTAGGATGCTTGGAGCTCATGGATCGACTTACGACCATAGATATTATCGGAGAGAGTAGCCCGTAATGTTTTTTTTTTGTTTTTTTTTAGAGCCCTAGTTTTTATAGTGACCATAAATAGACTATCGCAGAAAGTGGTTTAGTGTCCCTTGCAGAAACGCCGGGTTGGTCAAGCCCGTGCATCTTGTTAATAAGAGCAGCGAGGACGGATCAAGAAGCCCGAACGAAGCCAGCCACGCCTTTTTAAGCCGTCATTTGCGGCTTTAGCGTCTCTAGCTCGTGTCACGGACGCGGGTAATTTGTCATTTAATAATTTATATACTTTTTTTACAGGAGGTCGCATCGACCATGGCCACCATGTGACTCGTGCTGGGTTGGCGATGGAGGAAGCGCTCGAGTTTGACCGCGCAGTGGAGGACACTGTGCGGCGACTGGGCTCCGAGGACTCGCTGATCGTGGTCACCGCCGATCACTCGCACACCTTCACCATGGGAGGATATCCCAAGCGGGGCAACAACATTCTGGGTGAGTGTCGACAGGTGCCACCTTGACACCTTGCGTCCCGTTTTTGATTCCGGAATAGTGATGTGTACTGACCATCGAGGAGAACCTCGAAGTGTCTTATATTTCCAACGTAGAGCATGGTCGTGGCAAATAAATATTAGTGTTGTAAATAAACGGCCTAAAAAAGTAAAATGAAAAGATTACAAATCTGCATTATTTAAAGTTTGCGCCTCAAGGATAACGGTTTGTTAAAAGTCCCTATTGTTTATGTCAAGTCGGTGTAGTTTGCTTTATCATGGAACCCGAGTCCGCGCTACGTGCGAAGCGGATACGTTACCCCCAGAGCTACGCCACAGCGTTAACCCGCTTTATATACTGTCGAGACCGGTTATAATGAATTCGGTTATAACGAAATAGCGGCTACAGCGAGGCAATCAGGATTTCCCATTTTCCTTTTGCACTTCGTTATATCCGAAGTCAGTTATAACAAAATAGCGGATATAGCGAAGTGATTTTTGATTCCCGCTGACTTCGTTATAACCGGTCTCGACAGTATAGTGTTTTTGTAGTACCCGACGCGCTCTCCGGAAGAAATAGCCGATAACGAAATGCATGCCGTCGTCGCCAGATGTAGCCAACGGCCAGATGTTCATTTTGTTCCTGCGTGAACGCAACGACGCTGCCCAACGAATTCGCCGTGACGTGTCGCAGCGATCTCTGTGACTCTACTCTGGATTAACACCGGCTTACTCGTTTTTTTATTCGTGGAAATACGTGCTTCCTTTTAAGCCTCATGTCATATTTCCACAGGGTCATGCATTTTTAGTTAATCATTAAACTGGCAGGCTCATAGGGTCGACATTTGCCTTGCGAAACTCGTATAATAAACAGAGATTGTGTTTTTATACCATTCTACTAGAAAGTTTTGTACAGGCGACGCCATTGTTTGGAATGTTAAATTCAGTTCAGACCATGACGCCATTTAGAAGCTTGCACTTGTGTCGAAGTCTCTCATAAACGTCTGCTTTTGAGAGTGCGCCGGAGATGCCCAAATAATTTGGTTTTGCAGCGCCCATTGACTACTTCATAAACGGCAGAAGAATAAGCGCCTCAAAGACAGGGACTGAGAACAAGACAACCCCGAGCGCTACTTCCAACTGGATTGTTTATTGAAAGCACACACTTTACAGGCACTATGTATCATGGGGCTCTTGGCACAGGAATGCAATATTCTTGATTAGATGGGCGCGGTGACGGTGCGTTTACGCGCTCTAAGAACCGCTTGTCCCATATAATGCACCCCAAAACTTCAGTTCGACGTACAACGCACTACGTTCAACCGATGGTACCAACCTTCACGAGCGGCTTGTTGGCCGAGTTGTACAACCTATTAAAATCGCCAATGTGCGTGCGACTGACTGTAAAAAAAAAAAAAAAAAAAATTATTGGGGTTTTTTAGGTTTAAGTAAAAAACTTGTTTTTTTTTTTACTTTCATACGTACTTTAGCTGTTTCCTATGTTATATCGCACCGTCATCAACCCTCTCGCAAACGTTGGGGCAGTCAGTTCGACGTCGGTGCGCTCTACATTGGACTGAAGTTTTGGGGTGCTTTATATGGGACAAACAGGGTGTAAAACTACACCCCCCCTGTAGGGATGGCCGAAGGGGCTTAGCCGAAAGAGCTCGGGGAATTGGCGGCGAGGTCACCCGAAGCGTCCTTTGGAGGTGCCCGATGTCTTGTCTTTCCCTTTGGCGGCAAGCGGAGGCCAGCTCCCGAAAGTGGAAGCAGATTTCCCCGCGTGGGAAGTAAACAAACCTCTGTTCGCGGGTGGTCGCCCTTGCCGCCGAGGTAATTGGGGAGGCGACCTTGTCAGGGCCATGTCGGCGACTTCGGGGGAGAGAGGGAGGTCCGGCCTCCCTTCGGAATGTCGGTGTGCCTTTTCGGAAAAGTTGAGTCTGAACGAGCCCGTGCGCGGAGCAAGACGTTATTCTCCCGCGGTCCCGAGGGCTCCGCGTACTTTATCCTGCGGGGTAGAGAAGTTGCCGTGCGCGGCAACGGATTTGGCGCTGAGGCGCTTTTGTCGACGTCGGGCTGCCGTGAGCGGCAGCAGCAGCGTGACAGCCTTGTACTATATTCGTTCTTCTTTGTAAATATATTTGTCGAAAAACCTCCATCGAGTTCTCCGGCTCCTGACTGGCGAGAACGGCAGATCCCCGCACCACCTCACGACACTCCACGGTCACCCGGCTCCATCGAAACCCGAGCGAGACGACGGAGTGCCGGGAAAACCACCATCACTCCTGGAAGGAAGAACCTTTACTGGCGCAGTCGACAGGATGGTGGACGTCGTCGGCCACTTTCAACGACTTCAAGGGCGGAAACGACGACGCCTGTGTTGCTGCGGTGCGCGGCGGCACTGAGAGGCAGCAACTCGACAATTCGGGAAGACGAACTTCAGTCGACCAAGGGTGACCAACTCAGCGAGACTTGTCAACGAGACAAGGTCGGCGCCTGCTACGGCGGAGAGGGAGCCTCAAGACAACGGACTCCCCGGGGTGTGATCGACGCCGAGGACCTGCGGGCCGGCGACATCAGCGGCTATCGTAGACTCTGCAGCATCGCCAGGTACGTGGTCGCTTTCCCTTTCGTCGCCGGCTGACACCCGCGCGCTTAGCTGCACGACGAAGTGTAGCTTGCGTAGGAGGGGGAGCCCTAGGGACGGAGGCGACGAGGGGTCGCATAAGGAAGCGGTTCCGATGAGCGTTCGGTTAGCCCTTGCGAGGGAAAAAACGAGGGACCTGGAGCGGCAGGTTCGAGAGGCAGAGCTCCGGGCGGACGAGCGGAGAGCTAGAGCGCGGCTCCCCGGGCAGCGCCGTGAGGAGACGCAGCCTCGGGCAGCGGAAGACACGGCGCCCGAGGCTGGCTATGTGAGGAAGACAGAACCGGACGCGCGAGGCGACCAGGAGGCAGCCGTGGGGTCCGGGGCCGATCGTGTCGTTCAGGAACCGGAGACGGCGGGGAGTCCAACGCCGATCGCGCTCTCCAAGAAGTAGGGTTTGAGGCCGATCGAGCTGTACCGGGACCGCAGGCAGTCGTGGGGTCCGAGGCCGACCGTCCCGTGCTGGGACCGGAGACTGCCGGGGGGCCCGACGCCGATCGCGCCCTCCAGGAAGCGGATACTGTAGGGTCCGAGGCCGATCGAGCCGTACCGGGACCGCAGGCAGTCGTGGGGTCCGAGGCCGACCGTCCCGTGCTGGGACCGGAGACTGCCGGGGGGTCCGACGACGATCGCGCTCTCCAGGGACCGGACACGGTCATAGGGTTCGATGCCGATTTAGCCGTACTGGCACCGCTGACTGCCGTGGTGTCCGACGCCGATCGCGCTCTCCAGGAACCGGACACTGTCGTAGGGTTCGAGGCCGATCGTGCCGTATTAGGACCGGAGACTGCCGTGAAGTCTGAGGGCGATCGGGCCGCTTGCGAACCAGGGTCTTCCTGCGTCCGGGCAGCTGGAAGGGAGGAGCTCCCGGAGAGCCAGGGGTCGGTCCCGGCACTGGGGAGGCTGGTGGATGCTGATGTCGCGAGGGGGGCTACTGCCGCTGTTCAGATTGGACTTCGGGGTCACCACGACGGGCCTTGTGTTGAGGGTGTGACACAGCGGGTGCCACCAAGCGGGCGGCGCGAGGAGGTACAGGTGCAGGAGCACGAATCGCCGTGGGGCGACAATCTTGGAACGGGGACGGCGATGGCGCGCCATGGGCGCAAAGCTGGTCCTTTCCCTGACGTCTGCGAAGCGATTGCCGAACGCGGTTCCGTGGAGAGGCCGAGCCGAGCACGCCTTCGTGGGCCGAATGAAGCTCTGGCGAGGTACGCTGTCCTCGTGACAGTCGACACAGGTGCCCGAGTAAGGGGTGATTGTATGGCGGCAGGGGAGCGCTTTGTCGCGCTCATACACATGGTGTCAGCGGGCGTGCATGTGGGGAAGCGATCACTGCCGTGGCCCTTGCGAGGTGCCATTGAACTCACACTTGCTGTGTAGCGCTTGCCGCGCTTTTCGAGTTTTGTTGTCTTTTTGTTTACGGCAACGCTTGCAGCATTCTTGGTGTCGCTGGTGCGAGCAAAACAGGTCCGCAGAGTCTTGCTGAGTGGGGGATCAAGGTTTGTGTATCCACAAGCAGAAATAAGTGTTCTCCCTATTTTAATCTTTATTTAGCAGGTCGTACTAGAGAAGCGCGGCTATATTTTATTTTTCGCTAGCTAAACGGGAACGCTGTCAACCGTAAGCGGGTCGGAAGGCGATCGCTGCCGCGGTTATTTTGTGTAATCGAACGTTTCAGCGTTGTTCAGTGTTCACCAAGCGTTTTCAGTTTTCCCTTGACTGTTGGTTTCCCGTGATTTATTGATGTTTTTTTGTTTTTTGTTTGCGGAAGTTCTTGCGGAACCAGAGGTGTCGTTGTTGCCAGCGATCCAGGTCCTCAGAGGCCGGCTGAGAAACGGAGTGTAGTAAGAAGGATTGTCCTTTTTTTTTTTTCCTAATTTTTATATAGCATTCGGTGCTAAGGGGGCCGGCTTGGTAATTTCTAGCCATGCGTTTTGTTGTTTTATTTTTCGCTTCAGTTTAAGCGGGTTGTTTTTGTGTTCTTTTTGGGTTTTCGGCCATCCTGTTTTTGTAACTGCTGGCTAGTCCAGAAGTCCTAGCGCAGTTTTCGGGGGGACGTGTAGGGATGGCCGAAGGGGCTTAGCCGAAAGAGCTCGGGGAATTGGCGGCGAGGTCACCCGAAGCGTCCTTCGGAGGCGCCCGATGTCTTGTCTTTCCCTTTGGCGGCAAGCGGAGGCCAGCTCCCGAAAGTGGAAGCAGATTTCCCCGCGTGGGAAGTAAACAAACCTCTGTTCGCGGGTGGTCGCCCTTGCCGCCGAGGTAATTGGGGAGGCGACCTTGTCAGGGCCATGTCGGCGACTTCGGGGGAGAGAGGGAGGTCCGGCCTCCCTTCGGAATGTCGGTGCGCCTTTTCGGAAAAGTTGAGTCTGAACGAGCCCGTGCGCGGAGCAAGACGTTATTCTCCCGCGGTCCCGAGGGCTCCGCGTACTTTATCCTGCGGGGTAGAGAAGTTGCCGTGCGCGGCAACGGATTTGGCGCTGAGGCGCTTTTGTCGACGTCGGGCTGCCGTGAGCGGCAGCAGCAGCGTGACAGCCTTGTACTATATTCGTTCTTCTTTGTAAATATATTTGTCGAAAAACCTCCATCGAGTTCTCCGGCTCCTGACTGGCGAGAACGGCAGATCCCCGCACCACCGCACGACACTCCACGGTCACCCGGCTCCATCGAAACCCGAGCGAGACGACGGAGTGCCGGGAAAACCACCATCACTCCTGGAAGGAAGAACCTTTACTCCCCCCCCCCCCCCCCCCCCCCTCCCTTTTTTTTTTCGAGTGCGCAGTCTGTGTGTTCTCGCGCCCTTGTGTTATTAAATTTATCTGATTTTTTTTTTAAGTTTTCTCATATATATCTATATTTTTTGTTGTTGTTGTTTTTGCTGCTTTTTGGGAGCATTTGGGCATTTGTCGCAGTGTATGGCGAGATTACTCGAGGGGGAGTTCCTGACAGACATCGCATGCTCGCGTACCCTGTCAATGTCAGGAACCAAAAGGGAGTTCGTGTCCTTGTCAGGAACTCCCCGTCGGGCACTCTCGCCATACGCTGGGACACATTCCCATGTGCTCCCCATCTGAAAAAAAAAAAAAAATATGCGCGACGATCATTGATAGTGATGCTTTTTGGCAGCCAAAGTTGTGCTGCTTATTCGACAATATGACGATGGCGATCGATTGACATTGCGCTGATCGTGCGTCATGTATACGGAGATCTGATGTTGAGAGGACATTGCCTTGATTTTGCGTCGATATATTGTTGATGAATAAATGATTGCGAGGTCTTGATGTGTTTTCCCGTACAATTTGGCGGGTAAACTGGTTTGGTAGCGCTCGGTGTGTCGTCTTGTTATCTGTCCCTGTGTCTCAGGCGGTTATTATTATTATTTTTTTTATGTACCTAGCCAAATTTTACATTCTTGCACCAGCGTAGCCGATAACCCTTACGCGACTGAGCAAATTACTATTCATTCACACTGTTGCGTTTGAGTGCGTTAAGACTGCTTGCGTCTTGCTGTTGCTATGGCGACTCTTAGAAGGAGCTAACGGGGAGGTGCTGACCTGCACGACGCAACACAGCGCAACGCAATCGACATAACTGTGTGAACGAGCCTTCATCCTTAAGTAATTTCGATTTTATACATCGTATTAAGGTGTTTACAATGGTCTCCTCGCTCTCGCGCACTTTCTTTGTAGGCATAGCAGGCTACTCGGACGTGGACCAGCTGCCGTTCACATCCCTCGCGTACGGCAATGGCCCGAATAGCAGGAAGGAGCGGACGAACTTCACAGAAGACGAAACCAGTGAGTTGGCCTTACCAGTCGATCAAACGCCGTCTAATACCCTAGTTACACTAGCGCTCTCAACTCTCATTAAGACAAACTTCATTAGCATTTCCAAACTGTCATTGAGCATAACTAAGTTGTCCGGTGTTACAGGGTACATATGCGTAACAAACCAAGTTCAGGGGCGCGTCATGAGACACAGTTAAACCGGAAGCGAAACCAAAACTGATGTCACATTACCTTTTTTTTTAAAGCGATGCAAATGAATATATGCGCAATTTTTATTCATTATAAACGTTTAAAAAAGTTTAAAAAATAATATTTTAGGGTAAAGAAACGACAATGAAAGGTAGATAGGTAGGTAGGTATTCCGAAAAGGTGAAGAGGACGCGTCCTCTTCATTTTTTCGGGCCATCGTCGGCGTCTCCGAAAATAGAGGGGAATGTCATGACAGCAGGGAAAGAAAATAAGGGAGAGGAAAGCAGAGGGGAAGAAAAGAGGAGAAAAGCTGACGGTTAATGGTCACACATGCACATAACACACACACACATAAAACCATATACGGTACTATAGTTTGCTGTTTTGGTGTTGGTCACACTTAAGTCTTCCTAATAGTCCAGAATCCTTTAAAAAAATAGCAGAAAAAATATCTGAAGGTGTCTTTGGCGGGCTCCTGAGCCTCTGGGGAAAATGAGGTCATTCGTTTCCTCTAGTGGTGGATAGAGGTCTTGAAGTTGCTGCGAAAGGCTTGCGAAGTCTGAATTTGTGCGTTTACGGGTGAAGAAAACGAGTTTACATTTTGCTGGGTTAAGGGTAATTTGCCCTTTGTGCACCTACCCGATCAATATCAGTTTGGAGATGTAAGCGGTCGTCAGGGTTGTTGATCTTTCTGAGCAGTACACAATCGTCAGCAAAAAGACGTACACAGGACGTTAGTGAGTGCGGAAGATCATTAATGTATATTTGAAGGCACAGAGACGCAGCACTTCGGCGTGCCAAAGAAGCTTGGATCCCATCGCGAGACCGGCGAAACTTGCTTTCGACGAGTTGTGTCATTTTCCTGTAGCACTGCGCTTTCGTAAAAATTTCCACGTGTTCTCAACGGCAAGTCTCAACGCTTACACAGAGTCTTGGAAAAGTTCTTCGGCGAATGACAACGAACGAGTAGAAACCATGTCTTCAGCACGCTGCTGCCAGCCTCTGCAACGCTAGCAAAACCACAATTTCTCTATGAGCAAGATGGCCGTCCGGTGGCTTCACTCGCGGGAGCGGGAATCGTGATCCAGCAATTGTCATAGAGGTCAGTGGTTCGAACACTCCACCGCCTCCACAGCGTCCCGATTAAGGCATGGCGCCGACGTTGCTTGCGCCGGGACGGGACGAGAAGTCGGCTGTGTGAATGAGGCCTTAGATATTAGACGGGAATGCAGCACGGGGTCGAACGCTTTATAGAAGTCTAAGGAAATGGCATCGGCCTGGGTGTTTAGGTTCATGTTTAGAGCTGAGACAAGACCGGGTTTTAAGCCTCTTGCGACTGCTCCGGACCGGCTCCGCTGCAGCGCATCCGATCCTACGCCGTCGCAAGAGGCTTCAAAATGCGGAAAATCAGACGCTGCGTGCGCGGAGTCCAAGATTCCGTGGCTATTGCGCATACCCGTAACTCGTTCCACAACCCAGTAGGCAAGGATGGCAGCGCACGCAAGGCGATCACTTGCAACGGCCTACTATGAGCCGCGTTTCAACGTAAAGTACACTAGTTGAAATACTTCTATTTGATTGGCCAGGAAGAATCGCCCATCGCCTGTGTGCCCTTCTTGCTTTTTAATTCGAGACAGTAGCCATGTGTTATGCGGTTACACAACATACGACTCTCAAGGGAAAGCGGTGAGGATATGCTGGAACTCGGAACAAATCAATAAATTGTACCGCGCACCAAATTCTTGACCCTTCTTGAACTTCTGAAGATGGACGTAGGGCCACGAAAGCTCGGATTCATTAGCTTAATAATACACGCGTCCATTCACTGTACATAATCTAAACGTTGAAGTAAATAAGACTAGTATTTGTTGTTGCTTAGTTTATCTTTGTTTTATTTTTTAGTTCTTAACCTTACTCCCCCATTTCTTTCTTCGCATACTAGCGAATCAGCACTTCTGCAGGTTAAAGGCCTATTCACACCGGAGCGTTTCTTTGCGTCTTGTTACGTTACATCACGTTTCAGTCGCCAAAACATCAGCGCTTCGAATGTTGCATGTCTGTCTACTGCTTGTACACATTGCCACGGTCCATTCAAAGCCTATATATCTCGGTTACTGTCGACGCGAGCCGATGCTTTCGCAATATATTGCAACCTAAAGGCTGGACTCCCGTGATGAATATGCCGCGAAAAAGTGGCTGCTACGTCGAGCGCAAAGCGAGCGTGCCGTCGGGCGAAGTTTGTCAATTATTTATCGCATAATAGGCTCCAGGAAACAGTGCTGTGTGCAACCGGCCGCAACATCTTTTTCGAGCATTTATTTCTTTATTTACAGTGCCAAACCAATTGCCAGAGTTCATAGGTTGGCGCTGTAAATAAACGAAACTTCTCTCTATACCTTGTCTCATCCTACGATGAACTAAAGGCCAAAGCCAGGGGCTGCCAGGTCCAATCACGTTCGACGCTATATACTCTGACACGCTTAACATTGATTAGAGGTGGACAAATAATGATCGGATCCAAAAGCGCCACATCATTTCTATAGCGTCGACGCCGCAAAGAGCTTATAGACGCTTTGCAGCAGCTGTGCATGGACGCCGCCATAACTGACCTTCAGTTTTTGTTTCCTCTTATTCAGTTTATTTGACTTCATCATTACAATAGCATGCCAGGTTATTGCCACATTAGATTCAACTGTGTCTTTTTCTTAAGCATCGGCCTTTATAGAGGATCGTCAACTACCGTTTCAGTTGCTCGGCATCTCGGTAAGACAAGAGAAGGTCAGCAATGGCGGCTGTAATTTGGCGCGTGTGTAAAGCGTCTATATGTCGCGGCTTTGCGATGTAAAATTGTTGAGTCACTCAGCGCTTTTTGATTCGCACCACTGTCCACCCGTCCCCTGATCCGATACGCGGGCGCCGATACGTGCATCGAAGCGAAATACCGCACAATTTCTAAGTGGCTCGTGATTAGATTTGGCGGTCTGTAGCGTTTGCCTTTAGTCCATCGTAGGGTGAGACGAAGTATAGCTTTGTCTATACTCTAGTAATCGTGTTGTTTCTTTTTTTCCTTTTTAGCATCGATGTCCTACGTCCAGCACGCGGCTTTTCCGGCTTGGTTGGAGACGCACGCCGGCGAGGACGTGGCCGTGTACGCGACGGGCCCCTGGGCACACCTCTTCTCCGGCGTGCACGACCAGACGTACATTCCGCACGTGCTTGCCTACGCGGCCTGCATAGGGCAGTTTGCCGGAGACGGCTGCCACGCGCGCCGTGCACCGACGAGATGACGGCCAGTGCCTGCGTGAGGGGTGTGTGGACTGAAGCACGGGGGAAGGAGAGAGATGTGCCCGAACAAGGTTGTTGTTCGAAAGGTCTTTGAAATGGGCTCACCCGGAGCAACGAGTGCGGCCGATGCCACTTAGAAAACTGGGCCTGCGCCTGATTTCATCGTAACAGCGCTTGAGACGAGGGCAACACGATGTTCCGTGTTGTCCAGTATCCTTTTTTGTCCTCGTCTAAAGCGCTACCATGTTTTTGAATACCCACTAGTGTTGATGTTTGGGAGGGGAAGGTGGGGTGCTTTGGCCTTCATGTAGTATTGGTACGGCCGTCATCGGCCAGGTTTCTTTCGACTCGTCTGACCAAGGCCAGTCAGGGTGACAAGTTTGCCCAAGCACCGCGCATCTCCCTGCAGGAGTGCTGTTTTGGTTTAGAATCTTCGCGCGGCATTGCAAACGTGTGCCCGAATGAGGACGCGTCTCCTTGATTGGCCCTCATCGGTCCTTTACATGCTGCGCCACACCGCGGCCTTTGCCAGAAATGCGAGTGAACCTTCGCCACATCTCCCCCGTGGCGATGCGGTGCCGTTCAGGCTCCTGGTTCTTCCACCGTGGACAGCTGCGACGCTGCCAAGACGTGCACTGATGGTCGTGAAGAAAGTAGGAATGTGAAGACGTCGACGACAACACCTGCGTGTAACTTTACGTGGAAATGGCCCGCCCAGTTGTAGCACATAGCTGCAGCCTCTGCTGGGTCGTACTGCTTACGGTGATGGCCGTCTCGAGGACAACTTTTCTTAGCAACGAAGCCAAAAATACGGGCACCCGTGCCCTCCCCGTTTTGAGCGCCGATGAAAGCTGTGCGGGCGCTCTCCTCCTCTCCTCGGGAATGCCAAGAAAAGTTTGAAAAGATAGTTCCGACGACTCCGACAACGACACCCTATATACTCCATCACTGCCTTTCCGTATGCATTGTATTCTTTTATGTATATATCAGGGGTAACGGAGGTATCAGAGTTTTAGCAGACCGTCTTTTCGCCCCGATTACGATACCTCTCCCCTCCGGCGGCCTTGGGCATGTATCGTTATCGGGTGTCGTTAATGGGGAGAAAAAGCGATCTGCTAAAGTTCTCTGATAGAGTTTTAGCAGATCCACACACTCAATTAGGGAGTTTTCGTAGATCGTTCATACACTTCTGATAGCGATAGTCGATACTCCGCTGACGCCTTTGCGCATGAATCTAATCGTTATGGGAGGTATCAGGACGATTTACTAAAACTCCTATTGGCGCGGGTTCGTAGCCTATCCAGGGGTTGTGCTTGCGCGTAGGTCGTGACCCGCTAAATCTAGCGGGAAACGTTCTCCGCTGAATTTGGCGAAAAATAGCAGTGTCGCGTGACGTCATGTGACGGGGCGTGAGTGGTACGTGACGGTGATTCCGCACTAAAATTAGAGCGAAAATTTCTCGTCCGATCGGGGAGGCATGGTGTCACTCTACAGTGACGTCAGTCTTACCTGACGTCATGGTGCCGCGTGACGTTAGCGCTACGTGGCACTGATTCCCCGCAACAATTTATCTGCCAAGTTTAGTGGAGAATCATGGTGTCGCCTGACGCTGTGACGTCGGTGGTGCGTGCCGACATGGTGCCGCGTGACGTCACAGTGGCATCAACACCGCCCGCTAAGGTACAGGGATGCAAGTAATAGAGAGTTTTAGTAGATCGTTCCCATGACTCCGATAACGATACGCGATACTCCGCCACCGCCTCCCTTGCGCATGCATAGTATCGTTATCGGGGCTATCGGAGGTATCGGAACGATCTACTAAAACTCTCTAATAAGCGAGGTTTAGGGAACCGTTTCTGTTCAACCGATACGGTACGATGGGCCCTCCGGTACGAACTGCACAAATGAGTCTCTTCCGTGGTTGCGCATGCGCAGTGAGTCCCGGAGGGCCCATCGTAAAGTATCGGATGTGCGAAAACTGTTCCCGAAAGCTCTCTATTTCAGCATGGCAGTGTAACCGTGCGCAGCAGTCTGTAGCATTGCCGCAGTTACAACATCCACGTCGCGGGAAGGAACTGCCAATAGTTTTATTTTAAAGAAAGAGTTCAAGGAAAGACATGTTTTTGTAATGTGTGATGGGGAAGTTTACAAATTATTAAAGAATTGAGCGTGGATGTGACCTACATTGACTTAAAACTAAAGAAACACACAAGAAGACGTCTGTTTCGTCCTCTTGTGTGTTTCTTTCGTTTTAAGTCACTGAAGTTTACAAGGATTTGCCAAACGCCCTTTCCACGAATGATGTTTTACGATTTTTTGTTGTTGTTTTGTTATGATAGTGTATTAGAACTTTGGAACACGCGGATGCGGTTCTAGTTTTGTATCAAAGGTAAAGGAAACCTTTTTATTTTTAAAAGCAATATGTCACTGCAAGACTTTAGAATAATAAAAAAAAAAAAGTCAATTCGAATTACGGGAAAATCCACCAAACAAGTTTTGACAAAAAGGAAGTTTCCTTTGCGAGAGAATTTTTTTTTTTCCATAACCCCCCCCCCCCCCCCCAAAAAAAAAAAAAAGGTTTAAAGTATTTTTTGTTTTTGTTTTCTCAAATGAATAAAACAGCGTACGGGAGCATCAAAACTACGGCCGAAAATATGGTTCATTTTAATGGGAAAGCGATGAAGTGTTAATGGAAACAACGTGTGTATTTTTTGTGGCACTATGGATTTGATTTGTAAATTTGTGTTTTATATGTCATTGATATAATACACTGTTAAAATATGTCGAATGTTATCTTGTTTTCCTGGGTTCCTGTTCTGTAGCGAAAGAAAGCTGACCAGAAGTTTTTCCTGTTTTTTTTTTTGTTTTTTTTTTCAGGAGAGTAAATTATTTTTGCAGGCGCGTGAAAATATTAAGGTTAAGATAGAAGACAGCTCTAGTACGTACTACTATTACTTTTGTCACTTTTTGTTTTCCCAATAATATTAATTTTAATATTGCTTTAATAACTTCAAGCGCTCAAGAGAAAAACCAGGGGTCGTACGACCATCAGTACATCTTCATAATGACCCTCAAAAAGAATAAATACTCTGGTCTATTTCTGAAACTCAGGTTTGTGTAGCGAAATTTGCCCATTGAGGGACGGGCGGGTGAATAGCCCTTAATGGTGCGTAGCTCCTTCGCTATCTTGCATATGATGAAGTTGAACAACGTCGCCTTGGGGAGCTCCAGAGACACTGGGGAGTGTGCGAGGTTGTGCTTCGATCACTGCCGAATGTTCCAATGTATCGAAAGCTTTCTGGAGATCGACCGCCACCAGGAGCCCGGGTACTTCGTTGGTACCGCGGCGATTCTTGCCCAACATGTTGCCCGCCAGAAGCGAACAAAATGCCGAAATATTCAGAGCATCGTCATGGCTAGGTATGATTCTGATGAGTCTTATTTTCTAATACTCTGGTCAAACAAGCTTTCGGCGTATGCGGCGAAGCCACTAAGGCTTACAAGATACACACCATGATTGATGACCTCAGTGAGTGTTCCCTCGTCTCTAACTCTGCCGTATGGCTTAACGGACGACTGGCTATGTATACCATGGCACTCTTTTGGCATTGCACTCTCGACCATGACACTGATATCATAGCATAATCAACGCTCACTTCACCATTGAGGGACGAGTGGGTGAATAGCCCTTAATGGTGCGCATGATGAGGTTGAACAACGTCGGCAAGAGGATGACACCTTGGGGAGCTCCAGAGACACTGTGGAATGTGCGAGGTTGTGCTTCGATCACTGCCGAATGTTTCAATGTATCGAAAGCTTTCTGGAGGTCGACCGCCACCAGGAGCCCGGGTACTTCGTTGGTACCGCGGCGATTCTTGCCCAACATGTTGCCCGCCAAAAGCGAACAAAATGCCGAAATATGCAGAGCATCGTCATGGCCAGGTATGATTCTGATGAATTTTATTTTCTAATACCCCGGTCACACAGGCTTATTTAGTGCACTTTAACAGAGTGTAGTTCGCCCTTAGTGCCATTTGTGTAGCCTGCCACACGGCTTCTTCCTGAAAAACACACTTGGCTTCAAGTGAGTTTACTTCTTGTTCTTTGTCTTCTTTTCCTTTATCTTTGCTTGTGAGGATCGATTGAAATCATCCAAATGGCGTAAATATTTTCAATTAACGTAACGTGGTATCGTAACGTGTCTTTATTAAAAAAACTATTAAATATTGCGGAGACATTTATGCCTCAGTTACTTTAACATTTTACGTGTATATTAGTACTTTACCCATTGTTATTGTCATCATTTCCGAGTGACACTAATTTATCCCGTGTGGCACGGGAACTCGAATGGTACTTCACCATTCGGTGAGCTGAAATGCACTTGGTTAAAGCGCACTAAATCAGGCCGTCTGACAGGGGCATAAGCCGCCAATCAGCGCAGACGCAATCATAGCAGGTGTTCGCTTCCCCCAAATAGCTCCCGGTTGTTTTATCACGAGGGTTTGACGTCACTAAAACAATTACTTTCGAGCGCCGTCGTTGTGACCGCCTCACGCAATTAAAAGTGCAAGATTTATCTGTGGTTCAGTCCTTAAACTCATCATGGCTTACTTCTTTTTTTTTTTTTTAACATGTCGTCTTTGATGACTGGTTGAATCAAGCGTGCGACGTCCCTACCCTACAAGCCTACACTTAATTCTAATTTCGCGTACTTTAAACAAAGTTACCTCTCGCTAAAGGCCCCGGCTGCGCAAATGAATATTCGCGCGTGTGGACGTGGCAGACGCACTGACTGAAGTTCGACGGCATTTGAGCGTCGTCGCAATAACGTTTCTCTGAACGAACAAACTTCTCGAACTGAAATCGTGCGACCTGCCGTGACGTAAATCTGTCAACCGCGGCAGGAGGTCCATTTCTGCAAAATATAATCGGCGGGCTCTGATCAGAGCACGTCGTTTTCGTTTGGAGCGTCGGAAAGCTGACTCTCTACTCTTCGACCGCCATGTCTGGAAACTTGGGACTCCTGTTTGCTTTGCTCTTTTCCTTGGCCGCCGTGTTGCTTTTTATCGATGAGACGTCAGCGGGCGC